TCTTCATTTTTATAATAATTATATAAAGATGTTGGAAAGATAAAATAATTATTTTATATTATAAGAATATTGTTATTGTAACTTCTTCAAAATCATTTACATATTCAATTATATTATCTAAAATTTTAACTAAAATACATTTTTAAATCAATTTTTATAAAAAAATTCTACAAGAATTTAATTATTTAAATACAAAAGTAAATAATTTATTGAGGAATTAAATGTTTTTTAAAATTGAACTCTCATTTAAAGAATTTTGTCAACAAATTTTTAAATAGGTAATTAAAATTCTTTTGACGAATTTCAATAAAAAATTTAAGAATAATTTCATTTTTCGAGAAATTAGATTAAAATTGTGTTAAAAATAATTGAAATTTTCCGATAAGTTTTATTATTTATGAAAATAATTAAATATTTGCGTAGTTATTAAAATTTTTTTTAAATAATTCAATTTTTTTGGAAAATTTTATTAAAATAGCTGAAAATGAAAATAATTTAATTCAGAAAATTTTTTGGTATAATTGAAATTTGTCAAAAATTTTATTAGTTAAATTTTATTATTTTTATTGTTAAAAATAATTGAATTTTAAAAAATTTTATTATTTCTAAAGATAACTGAATTTTAAAAAAATTTTTGAACATAAACGAACTTCTACTAAAATTTTTATTACTTTTGAAAAGAGTTTCCTACTGGCGCGCGGTACCGCGCGCGCCTGTACCGACGCCGGTAAGACTATATACTGGCATTCGTCCGTCTAGCAACCGCCGCGGACCAACCCTGGAGGGTTGGGCTACCGTAAATCTACCCAAGTTATGGTAGATTTAAGGTAGGTTTTGGGTAGACTCAAAAAATTGCTATTATTCAATGAAATATTATAAAATAAATTATTGGGAATAATAAAGTAACATTTGTAGATTAAATTTTTAAATTATATTATGTAAATTAAACAATTATAAATAAATTATTGATATGTAAAAGTGACAAAGTAGTTTCCAGTGAATATAGTGGGTTTTAAATAGCATATTTAGTGAATAATAAAAAGAAAAAATTAGGAAAACTTATTTAATTTAACAAAAGTAATCATTAAAGCATTTATTTATTACATATTTAGGGCAAATTAATGTTTACTTATTGAATAATTAATGTTTAAAGTTGGAGATGTCAGTTCTACCGTGAGATGTATGCGTGTGTGTGTGAAGCAATGATAATATACTACTTGATATATCGCCGCGCATTTCTCACGACAGATGGCGGGACTGACATTCGAACTCCTCTGTTTTATCCACATTCAAAACAAGAAATAGAAAAACCAACTTTCCAAGATGAATTTTATTTAAAGCAATTCTAAAAATTGTATATTGAAATTAACCTTTTTTAATTTAATCAATTTCAATGACAATTATTAGTATATTTAATAAAATATAAAAAATAAAAAAGCAGAAAATAAATAATTATACTAAGAAAGATAAAATATGCAATTTTTTCCCATTTTTCTAAAATAAATAGAAAATTTACTTTTTAGACCAATTAAAATGAGATTCTAACTCCTCCTACTTTAAAAAGCAATTTTTTATTCGTTGGTTCAACATTACAAAAAGGGAGTGAATATTCAATTTTTAAAAAGTTACATTTAGTCTTAACCCATTAAGAAAAAAAGATGTCTGGCCAATAAAAATAAACTCCTCCTATTTTCAAAATGCAATTTTTGATTTGTTAGTTGAGTGAAATTAATATTTGAAAAATAAAACATAAAAATAATACCAACCCCCAAAGAAAAAATGGATGATTTAGACCAATAAAAATAATAAACAAACTCCTCCCATTTTCAAAATCAATTTTTCTATTTGTTAGTTTAGTTAAACAAAATGGAGAAAAAATTAATATTTAAAAAATAAATCATATATTTCTGTTCTATTGAAGAACTCTTGTTCTTTAAGAAGGAGGAGTTTAAATTTTATTTTAGTTGGTCTAAAACATCCATTTTTTTTGGGGGGTTGGAATTATATGTTTTATTTCTTAATTATTAATTTTTTCTCCATTTTGTTTAGCTCAACCAATAAATAGAAAGAAAGGTTTCTTTAAGAAGGAGGAGTTTAAATTTTATTTTAATTGGTCTAAATTATTCATTTTTCTTTTTGGGGGTTGGAATTTATATGATTTACTTTTTAAATATTAATTTTTCTCCATTTTGTTTAACTGAACCCATAAATAAATATATCTGTAGGAGGAGTTTGATTTTTTTTATTGGAGAATAGCTGTCTCTTTTTTCGTGAGGGGTTGGGAATAAATTTTATATTTTTTAGAGTTTAATATTTTCTCCATTTTGTTTTATTGAAGCAACAAATAGAAAAAAAGGTTTCTTTAAGAAGGAGGAGTTAAAATTCTATTTTAATTAGTCTAGAACATTTATTTTTTTGGGGGGTTGGAATAGTATGTTTTAAATTAAAATATTTAATTTTTTCTCCATTTTGTTTAGCTTAACCAACAATTGAAAAAAAGCTTTGATTAATAAGGAGGAGTTTAAATTTTATTTTACTTGGTCTAGAACATTCATTTTTTCTTTTAGGGGTTGGAATTATATGTTTTATTTCTTAAATAATAAATTTTTCTCCATTTTGTTTAACTGAACCAATGAATAAAAATATGGGAGGAGTTTGATTTTTTTATTGGCTAATAGCATTTTTTTTCGTGAGGGGTTGAGACTTAAATTTTTTAAAGTTTAATATTTTCTCCACTTTGTTCTATTGAACCCACGAATAAAAAATAGTTTTTATTAAGAGGGAGGAGTTTAAATTTTAATTTAATGGGTCTAAATCATCCATTTTTCCATTTGGGGGTTGGAATTATATGATTTATTTTTTAAATATTAATTTTTTCTCCATTTTGTTTAACTAAACTAACAAATAGAAAAATTGATTTTGAAAATGGGAGGAGTTTGTTTATTATTTTTATTGGTCTAAATCATCCATTTTTTCTTTGGGGGTTGGTATTATTTTTATGTTTTATTTTTCAAATATTAATTTCACTCAACTAACAAATCAAAAATTGCATTTTGAAAATAGGAGGAGTTTATTTTTATTGGCCAGACATCTTTTTTTCTTAATGGGTTAAGACTAAATGTAACTTTTTAAAAATTGAATATTCACTCCCTTTTTGTAATGTTGAACCAACGAATAAAAAATTGCTTTTTTAAAGTAGGAGGAGTTAGAATCTCATTTTAATTGGTCTAAAAAGTAAATTTTCTATTTATTTTAGAAAAAAATTGGACAAGTGCGAGTTGTACTCGCACTGCAATGGCGGGTTCCGCACACAAATATTAAAACAATACTTGCAACATTGATCGGTAATTAGTAGAATTAAAATAAACAATTATAAAAATATATTAAAATCATTTGATAAAAAAAAATAACTAAAAAAAATTAAAGTATTGTATATATCTAATATTGTAAACAATAATAAGCAGAGGAACAAAATTTTCAAAATTTATTATAGTTCCTCTGCTTATTATTGTTTACAATATTAGATATACAATACTTTAATTTTTTTTAGTTATTTTTTTTTATCAAATGATTTTAATATATTTTTTAATTGTTTATTTTAATTCTACCAATTACCGATAAATGTTGCAAGTATTGTTTTAATATTTGTGTAAGGAACCCGCCATTGCAGTGCGAGTACAACTCGCACTTGTCCAATTTTTTTTTATTTTTAGTTAAGAAATTAAAGTCAGAAAACAATCTCTCATTTATTCTCTTAAAATTTCACTCTCTTCCTTAAAATATTTAATGCCACGTGTTTAAACTAAAAAAAAATTTAAAAAATTTTTTTTGATTTTTTTTCAAAAAGTTTCTTAAATAAATTTTTTGTCGTCAGACTGTAATAATACACTAGGATACCAATTTTCAGCTCATTAGGTCAAATAATGTAAAAGTTAGGAAAAAAAATTTTTTTTTTTTAAATTTTTTAGTTTTTTCTTGACAACGCTATGGCCATCATTACATATCAAGTTCTCTATATTTTTCCTGTAATATTCGAGTAAAAATACACCAGCATGCAAAATTTCAGCTCTCCATGTCGAATAGTTTAGAAGTTAAGGGGGGGGAATGGTCACTTTTTATGCATTTTCGGCCAAAAATCTTGTTATTTCCTTGACAACGGTATGCCCATCACGTCCAATAACATTCGCTATATTTTTCCTGTAATCTACGAGTGAAAATACATATCTGGACCAAATTTGAGCTCTTTAGGTCAAATAGTTTAGCCGCTAGGGGGGGGGACACGATTTGGCTACGGACAACAGAGTCTCACCAATAGGGTTCCGCCGATACACCGTAGGTGTACGGAACCCTAAAAATGGGAAAAAATTGCATATTTTGTCTTTCTTAGTATAATTATTTATTTTCTGCTTTTTTATTTTTTATATTTTATTAAATATACTAATAATTGTCATTGAAATTGATTAAATTAAAAAAAGATTAATTTCAATATACAATTTTTAGACTTGCTTTATGATAATAGAAGGGATGAAAAGACATTCTAAAAGAAACCAATTTGCCTTTCAATTTTTCTTAAATTCAAAGTTCAAAAAACACTGATAGAGTGTACCAATGGGAAAATAAAGCCAAGAATCATACAATTTAATAAGAACAGTTTATTTTAAACACTTTGCTTATTTTCAACACGTTCAACAAAAGTTGTTTGATTAGAGAAAGCTAAAATAATAATTAAAGGATTATAAATCTGAGGAACGAGCGACCGCGTGCACAACGTTTTACGAACAAGAGAGAAGTGACGCCAACGAACGGTGTGAACATAACGTTACTTCAACGATATTCGATATATTTTTATTTGTCAAAGAGATCGATTTTATTCTATAGTTATTTTATTTTTATTTTTTAACTAGATTTTCTAAATAATATATATGAACAGGTATTAGTTTCCAAACATTACCGCCGCCCTTGAACTCTCGGTAGTTCAAAAGATTTTAACGCAACTTTGATTACATCATGTTGAACTATAATAAAACAAAATTTCAATCAATCTTTATGAATCACAGGTAACAATATTAATTTTGATATCGGTCGAATATAGGTTCCGGAGGCAGTTTTGATCGTAACGACTCTTACAAGATTGTCTGTTCCCAAATTTACCTTGGTAATGCGGCCAAGAGGCCACTTCGTGGGAGGCATTGTTTCGTTTTTCATTAATACAAGCTGATTAATTTCAATATTTTTATTAACAAGTTTCCATTTATTACGCTGTTGCATGGATAACAAGTAATCCTGAGACCAGGCTTTCCAAAACGATTCTAAGAGTTGTTGCCACAATTGCCATCGAGACAATCTATTTTCTTTAATATTAAGTAAGGATGCTTCTGGTATCGCAGTTAGTTCCCCACCAATTAGAAAATGACTTGGTGTCAATACACGAAGATCAGAAGGATCATCGGTAAGTGGACTTAAAGGTCTCGAATTTAGACACATTTCAATCTGACAGAGCAAGGTATTTAATTCCTCAAAATGAGGAGTTCGATCTTTTAATATTCTTCGTAAATGATACTTAACGCTACGAACACCAGACTCCCAAATTCCACCAAAATGTGGAGCAGCAGGAGGAATGAAGTCCCATCGAATTCTATCATTAATCAAGTACGATTGTACTTCCGGCGATCTAATGACTGTTTGAAAATTAGCATCCAATTCGCGATTCGCCCCTTTGAAATTGGTTCCGTTGTCGCTATGAATGACTAAAGGTAATCCACGACGGGCTACAAATCGCTTTAATGTTGCAATAAAAGCCTCCGTTGTGTAATCACTAACAATTTCAAGATGGAGTGCTCGCACAGCGAAACATACAAATACTGCTATATAAGCTGTATGAGACGTATGCCCACGACCCTTTTGCGATTTTAATTTAATAGGACCAGCGTAATCCAATCCTACGTGTGAAAATGGTCCAGCTGGACGCGAAACACGATTAATAGGTAACGTTCCCATCAGTTGTTCGGCAACTGTGGCCCTCAAACGAACACAGGTTACGCAATTATAAATTACCGATTTGACAACTTGGCGCGACCGAAGAATCCAAAAGAATTGTCGAATTTGATTTAAAGTTAGTTGAGTTGCACCATGCAAGCATTTTCCATGAAAGTACTGAATTATCATAATAACGAGAGGATGTTTCTTGAGAATTGCTGGATGGCGTCTATCATACTCCAGTGGCGCATTAGAAAGTCGTCCACCTACACGCAATATATTTTTTTCATCAAGGAATGGGTTTAAATTCACAAGTGGACTATTTTTTGGAATCGATTTCTTTTGTTTTAACATTGATATTTCTGTTGGAAATAAACTCGACTGAACTAAACGAATAATAACTGACTGACTATCCTGACACCTTTCAACAAACGAAAGATTTTCTTCTAACTTGCGACCGTGAATTGTCAATTTGAGCTTCTGTTGTAAAAACTTTAAAATATATGCGACGATACGTACAAACTTCACCCAACTTGAAACTCTAGTCAACAAGGTGTTAAACCACACAGGTGGATCCGTAATAACATGAGAGACATGAATACGTGCTTCGAGGTTTGTATCCAGATCAGATGCTTCCTGATAGGAAGGCCATGAAATTTCTTGACAAGCTAACCAGGGAGAACCTTTCCACCACAACTGATTAACTACTAGATGAGACGCTCGAACTCCTCTCGAACCTAAATCGGCGGGATTTTCCTTAGTATCGATATGTCGCCAATTTTTGCACGGAGCTATTGATTGAATGGCCGCAACCCGATTAGCGACAAAAGTCTTCCATTCTGAAGCATGCCTTTTTAACCAAGCGAGCACGATCGTAGAATCTGTCCAATAAGTCGAAGTTAAATTTGCAAAAGCTGGTACAGCTTTTATCGCGGATACAAGTTGAGTTAACAATAATGCTCCACATAACTCAAGTCGGGGTACTGAAAGTACCTTTATGGGAGCTACTTTGGTTCGGCTTGAAAGAAGAGTAGTAAGAATTTCCCCAGACTTTAAGACAAGACGAACATAGACTACAGCCGCGTAAGCCACGTTTGAGGCGTCCGAAAATCCATGAATTGTTGATTCGACAACCTCTTCTCCTTGTCCTGTCCATCGCGGGATCGACAACTCATTCAAACAAGTCAATTCACTGTAGTAAGTAAGCCAAAATTCTTCTAAATCTGTAGATAACGGTTCATCCCAATTAACTGACTTGAGCCATAATTTTTGCATTAATATTTTGGCAGTGATAACCACTGGGGAGACCCAGCCTAAAGGATCGTACAACCGAGCGATCAAAGAAAGTATTCCTCTTTTAGTCAAAATTGGGTTGGAAGGGAGATTAATTCTAAATTGGTAAGTGTCTTGTGCTGGAACCCAAACGATACCGAGAATTTTAATCGAATCATCATCATTCAAGGGTTTTTCAAGAGCGTGACCATGATCAGAAGGATCAATATCCTTGAGCAGTGACAACGAATTGGAGGCCCATTTCCTTAAAGGAAATTTACCTTTGCTAAGAAGTGCAACTACTTCATTTCGATTTTTAACAATTTCTTCTTTCGAATCTCCACCAAAAAGACAATCGTCTATATAAATTTGATTTTCTAGAACAAATGATGCTAATGGATATAATGCACCTTCGTCCTTCACTAATTGTTGAAGTACTCGCAATGCTAAATATGGGGCCGCAGCTGTGCCATAAGTCACTGTATTTAAACGAAACGCTACAATTTGATCCAATGCTGCATCATACCAAAGTATTCTCTGATAATCGCGGTCTTTGTCGTCTATTCTAATCTGCCTATACATTTGAGCTATATCTGATACATAAACAAACCGATAGGTTCTCCATTGTAGAATAATTGCGAATATATTTCCCTGTAATTTCGGACCAATATGCATGTGCTCATTAAGACTCGTTGAATTCGAAGTTTTGCTTGATCCATTAAACACAGCACGAACTGCTGTTGTTGAACTAGACTCTCGAATTACCGGGTGATGCGGAAGATAAACGACTTGGGATTTATCAATAAGTTCTTCATGAACGCGAGTCATATGTTCCTGATCCTCATAATCAGCCATGAAGGCTTTATACTGATCAGCAACATGCGGTGATTTTTCAAACATTCTTTTTAAATTAGATAAAGAAGCTTTTGCAGAGTTGAGCGAATTTCCAATATTAATCGGCGGACCGGATTTGAAAGGATACCTAACCGTATAACGACCATCATCTAAACGCGAATATGTGGATTCAAAATAGGATTCACAATCCTGATGCATTGGAGTTAAAGTAGAAGAGTGAGGTACTTCTTCAACCTCCCAAAACCGCTGAAGTGATTTAGTTAAATCATCATTCGAAATACATAAACACGAGGTAGCAAAATCGTTGAAATGTTCAGATTGATTTATATTGTCATCTACCACGTTTCCAAACAAAATCCAACCGAATATGGTATTTTGTGCGATAGGTTCATTAACATTACCTTTCTTTAATCCGTCGCGTATGATTAAACCTTACAAATCAGCTCCTATTAAAATGTGAATTGATCTGGATGAAGTGAGTAACTCATCGTCAGCCAAATTTATCTCTTTCAAATAAGATTTTTCTAGAATTTTACTGTCAACAGTAGGGATGTATTTTGTAATTTGTTTCACGATTAATACGTTTGAACCGATAAGAGAAGCTTTTTCCGTTTTCGAACAAAGCGAAATAGAAGTATGACCTGACGATACACCGGCATGAACATCACCAACCCCCCTTAATTGAACATTGGATTGACTTGGTTGAATCTGCAAAGCATTCGCGAGCTGTTCCGAAATAAACGTCCGAGTTGAACCTTGATCCAACAATGCTCGTACCTGAACCGCACGCCCACTTTCAGATTTCACGATAATTTGAGCAGTTGCTAAAAGAACTCGATGAGACTTCACTACTCCCGGAGCCGCATGTAACAACTGCACGACAGACGAATCTTCCGGTTCGTCAGATAAAAAATCCGGCTTTGACGATTGATTTTGCGTAGACCTTGCTTCATCAGATTTCACATTTGTTTTGAAATGTAACAGTGTGTGATGCTTGCCCTTACAATGTGTGCAAAAAAACTTACTTTGACAATTGTCCCTTAAATGTCCCTTGCTGAAACAATTAATACATAAACGTTTTGATTTGACAAATTTAAATCGTTGTTCTGCAGATATCTTTTTAAATTCGATACATTTAAATAATCTAAAGCCCTGATACGAGAATCCAAAAAACTTAAAATAGATGAAAAATGAGGATATTCTGTTGTATTTCCTAAGTGCAATTCCCAAGCTAAGCGCGTACTAACATCAAACTTTTGCAAGACATAAAAAACTAATATATCACTTACACCATCAGAACTTTTATTTTCCTTCGGAATAACAGTTAATTTTGAAAATCTGTTCAAATTTTCTAAAGCAGCTATTTTTTCAGTGACAATACTGCGAATATTTTTAAGTGATATAACAGACTCATTTTTCATTGCAGGAATTGAAAATAATGCTTTTAATTCAGCTTGAATAATTGCGCGAGAATTTTCATACCTATTTTTTAAACGATCCCATGCAGATTCGAAACTACTTTCCGTAAGAGGTGTATTTTTTAATAAAAGTGATGCTTCACGTTCGACAAACGACTTTAAAAAATGAAGTTTTTGCAAATTATCAAGACTTGGGTTTTGAATAATTAAAGAATTGAAATAATCACGAAAAGTTGCCCAATCTGTTAACCTACCGGAAAATTTCGGAATGTTTATTGTAGGTAGTGGTGTTGATTGAAGTCGAGGTGTTGACGCTTGCGGTGTGGTGCTGACACGTTGAGATATTTCCTGGTATTCCAATCGTTCAAAACGAGTGACCTCTCGCAATATGTGATCATTGAATTCTAAAAAGTATTCCTCAGCAGACTCGAATATATTTTCATCGAAGTATGGATCGACTTCGTCCTTCCTAGTGTTCTGAATGATTCCATCGGAACCCACACATACATCCCAAATTTGTGTAATTAATCTTAATCGATTGTTCAACGCGGAAAGGGTCATATGATCGTTGCTTACAGCTCGATTTGCTGAACTGCAATGACGTTTTAAGGTTTCGATGTTGCGCAGCTGTTGATTGATGAGTTGTTGCAAAAATAATGGTTCCTGAGCTGGTGGTTGCGACATTATTTTTATTTTGTCCTTTGACGTTTCGAAAAGTAAATCAAGAGTCTTTCAGACAGACGAAAGCAATGTTCATTGAACAGCACGCGCACTATGCTCTGCGCAAGAAGGCGAAAACAATTATGGCGGCGTTAACACAGGAAAGGCAACTTCACTAGAATGCATAACACTTAACCGATTTATCCACAGAAATCAAAATCGATCAAATAATTATAGTATTTTAAACAATATGTCCGAAGCTCCTTATGAACAGAGCCACAAGCACTCAATTAATGCGAAAAAAAACTAGTAGCAAACTTTAAGACCACGCGACATTGCAACAGAAAAGCGACAAATTTCTCTTTTATACACAAACACAAATTTTATATGTCCAAACAGCTTTAATCTTTCCCACTGGATCCTGGCAGGATCGCCAAATAATGATAATAGAAGGGATGAAAAGACATTCTAATAGAAACCAATTTGCCTTTCAATTTTTCTTAAATTCAAAGTTCAAAAAACACTGATAGAGTGTACCAATGGGAAAATAAAGCCAAGAATAATACAATTTAATAAGAACAGTTTATTTTAAACACTTTGCTTATTTTCAACACGTTCAACAAAAGTTGTTTGATTAAAGAAAGCTAAAATAATAATTAACGGATTATAAATCTGAGGAACGAGCGACCGCGTGCACAACGTTTTACGAACAAGAGAGAAGTGACGCCAACGAACGGTGTGAACATACCCAGATAGCAATCGTGCGTCGCACGTCTCGCATTTTACGTGCAGGTCACGCAGTGATGGTCATAAAGCATACATTTTAACTGCATGTGTGATAAGGCTAGTACAGTGCAAGCATAATGCCTGCTATTTTACTGATGTTGAGTGCGTGTTACAGCTCACGAGTGTGAAGGCATAATGAAGGCTTAATGCCTTCATTTCAATTACAATAATAAATAATAATATATTATTATTTCAAATTATTTAAAATAAAAAATTGTTTAGAAATTGAATCTTATAAAATTAGGAATTATGAAACTTGAAAAATTGTTTTGTAAATATAATTTTATTTATTGTTGCCCGTTTTAAGAATATTAAATGTTTGATTGTTTATTATAAAAAATTCGAAAATTGTGAAACAAAAGAGATGAATTTTTTTAGATCATATGTGAAATTTATACCAATCAAAATTAATTTTATTTATAGGAGTAACAATTTTTTTGCTATTTTTTAGAACCTAAAATCATATTTTACTATGAAAAAAATAATTTATAGGTAACTATTTTTTTATTATTTATTATTTTTTTTCATTTTTTTTAAATAATTAAAAATTTTATGCACAGACTTGATTGTTTAAAATCATGGAAAAGTGTATAAAAATCGTCGGCAATCACACAATATAATAAAAATCTTAAGAACAGTTTAAATATTATAAGTTTTCGAGTAATGTAATTTACCCATGTACCCGGTAATATTACACTGATTCCAGTCATATTAAAATATCCGGCTGATGGTAATATTGCCTATTAATATATTATAGAAATTAACAGTAAATTAAACGCTTATGAAAAAATTGCAAAAAAGTTTTTTCTTATGATTAAATAAGAAACAAATTTCTTGTTTCTTTATATTAGATATGCATTTTAGAGCTATTTTCATTTCTTATCCCATGATTTAAATTAATGAAATTTTTTATTGCGTATTTTACAAAAATTGTCCAAGTAAAATTTGCTTAAAATGTTTAAATTTTATTATATAATTTGTAATGTTATTGATATTATTAAAATTTAAAATTATAATAATAGAAATAAATTTATTATTTATAGTTATAAATTATAATGTTTATTATTATTATCAATAAGATCAATAACGTTACAAATTACTTAATGAAATTTAAACAATTTATGCAAATTTTTGTTTTTGTAACATTTCAAATGTTCGCGGTATTAGTCACTGCGCAGGTGCTACGCGCAACTCCGTAGCATCTTTCGCTCTATACTACTCTTCCGGCTTTCGCACCATCAGACCCATCAAACACGTTCCGGCTAAAAGCATAAATACGCAGTTTTGTTGCTTGTTATTTTCGGTAAGTACTTATTTTGTGATGGTGACAATTTCTAATCGCAGATTTTGAGGTTTTAGTTTTAGCATTCTATGATTGTGAACAAATCTTTGTAAAAGTTTTTATTGCATCTAATTGTGGTAAGTTAAAATCGTTAAAAGTTGCATGCTTTGTGTATATAAACATAACCTTCAATTTTTTCTACATGAGGTACATGCGTGAAAAAATCACAATCATTTTCATGTTCTGTAGTGGTTTTACCTTTTTAATCCTCTATTTTTATTTCCATACTTTTCAAGTTCTTCAAATACTAAAATTTCAAATAAATTTTTTTAAATTAAATCTCTGTTACTATGTATTAGTTTTAATATTTAGAAATAATTATTAATACTTATAGTAAATATTTAAATTATATTTTGTTTCTCATTCGCGCACAATATTTTTTTAATTACGAAAGAATAAATTTTTTTGTTCATTTGACCATTCAGAGAAATATAGAGACGTTATTTCTTTGAATAGTTATATTTTTGTAAAAATTATAATGATTGTCGATATTTTTTTCTATTGTAGAATTTTTGTAAGCACCATTTTTTTTATAAATACCTCTTCATTTTTGCTTCTTTTTTTGAAAATATAATTTCCTTTCTTTCTTTGCATTTATAATGGTTCTTATTTTTAATTGGTTTTTAATTTGCAATTTTGGTGGTATTTAACGTTATGATATATGTACGCTTATTTTTATTTCTACAGTTTTTTATTATTTTTTTTCAATCGGTCTTTTAATAAAAAATCATTTATTTTAAAAAATTCAATATTTTCTAAAGTATTGAAGTTTGTCTTTATTACTCATTCAAATTTTTATTAGTGGATCAAAAGAAATTAAGTAGTAGATTTTTATATAAATAATATATATTTTTTTAAATAGTAGCGTACCCAGTAAAAAAAAACTAATTCAAATGAATTGAAACGAATTAACATTTTTGGTAGGCTCCAATTCGTATTTGTCACAAAGCGGGATTCACTCAAGCTCTTTGTATATTCAATTGAATTTAATTCAATATGTACCAATTTGTCCAAACGAATTCGCATTCGAAAGAAATGGCCAAGGAATGCATTGAATTCGTGCTAACGAATTGAAAAAAATTAAAGGCTCAAAACTTGTCCAGTGAATTGGTACGGATAGAAGGTTCGGAAGTTCAATACAGTTTCACGAATTCAGGAAAATTGCATCATGGCTCCAATTCGTATTTGTCACAAAGCGGGATTCACGAAAGCTCTTTGTGAATTCTTTTTAATTCATTTCAATTAGTTTTCGTTTACTGGGTACATCACTTCCATCAAAGTTTGCTCGTTCGCCGTGCCACAGTGGGATTTTTTAACAAATCACTGTTCAAAATTAATGTCTACAGTCCACGATTTTTAACCGATTCCAGTGTTTTTTGTTTTAAATTCTAACTACCTAAAAAAATCCTATTAATTTCTAGCAAAACAGTTTTGAGTTTTTAATTTTTTTTCTCAAACGATGCAAAAATTTGTTATAAAAAAAGCAGGGCAGATAAAAATCATGTTTTTTTAAATCAAAACAATCCGATTGTTTTGATTTAAATCGGATTTTTTTATTTAAATCATTTTTTCAAAAATATTTTTTAAATATTTATTCTTAAATTAAAAATTGAAAAATTAATAATATTAGGGTGGCTGCAAAACTTAATTTTCAGAATTCCCTGACTTTTCCTGACTAATTATTATTTATTTTTCCTGATTATCAAATTTTTAAATATTTTAATATTCTTCATTGCTAACTAAAAATTAAATAATAATTTTTAAGTAGCAATTTTATTTATAAAGAAAAAGAAGATATTTAAAAATTGTTTGTTTGAAAAATTTTAATGTGCTTGAAACTTTCATTATAAAAAAATGAAAGCAAATTTATAATTAATTTAAATCGTGCCAATGTCCATGTATTAAATATAATCAAAGTTTTTTAATTTGTGGTTTTTTATGATTTATATTCCCTGATTTTCTACTGATTAAAAAAATTCTATGATTTCCATTTTTTCTCTAACTGATATTTAATGCTTTTTTGGCTCAAATAATATAAAATACTGGTTTTTCATCTATCACTAACTTTTGTCAACTAAACAAAAAAATATAATTATTATATTCTGATATTCATTACATTATCACTATAAAATATTCTTTTTTACTTTTTTGAATTCTAAACTTTAAACAAAAATACTAATTTTGCAGCCTTTTGGTTACTAATTCATTTCACAGTATGTTTTAAATCATGATTCAAATGACAAGATCAAACGTTTTTTAGCTTTAATTATTTTTAATATATTTATTGGTTACCATATGTTTGACTATTATTTATATAATACTAAATTTTAATTGAACGAGACATATTTCTTTATTTAGTTGTAATATCATTATATACATTTACCATATTAACTTTCTAAAAAATGTATCCCCTTTAAGTTAGATTTTTTTAAATTGTTTTTATCTTTTTGTCAATATTATTATTTTTATTTCTATTTTCAGTCATTTTAGTTTTCTTTAATCTGATTATTTTATAAATACATTTAATAATAATAATTTATTTTTTATAGTTTGTATGTATTAAATGTATATTTTTACATAAATATTTTGTAAAATTATTTCAGCTGCTGCTAAACAAAGTCGCAACTTTGAGGGTCCTAAGGACAAAACCATATTTAAAACCCACATGTTGGAAGTTTTACGACATACGAAACAGCGATTCCGCAATCTACTAAAAAAAGGGAATTTAGATGAAGATGCCTTGAGAAAAGAAATTGAAGAAATGGAAAGAGAACAAGAGACTGGCAGTGAGAATGAAAATTCCGCAAATTATAACAGCGAAGAAGATGCTGATGATGAGTCCTAAACTTGAAAGATTATTTATAAAAATATACATATAATTTACTGAAAGTTACTT